GACACGAGTACATATAGACACAGAAACAGAGGTACATAGACAGAGAGACTCAGGTACAGACACAGAGAGACACAGGTACATAGACACAGAGACTCAGGTACATATAGACACAGAGAGACACAGGTACATAGACACAGAGACTCAGGTATATATAGACTCAGAGAGACACAGGCGAAACAAATGAGGGTGACAGGGGAACAGCACAAGAAGTAAAACTAAAGCCACAAGAGAAATGTCAACATGAAACCAACATAACACATATCCACACCAGGACAGATGGAGCTTACCAGAGAGAGCTGCTGTACCAGGAGAGGAGCCGTACCAGAGAGAGCTGCTGTTCCGGGAGAGGAGCCTTTTCCAGAGAGAGCTGCTGTACCAAGAGAGGAGCCGTACCAGAGAGAGCTGCTGTACCAGGAGAGGAGCTGGTGTTGTGACTTTGAGCTGAAAGAGGAAATGTCCACACAGTTTTTCTTCATCCTGTGGTGAGTCTGTGGTCAGAGGTTCAGCGTGAGACCCGCCTCCAAAACAAAACAGCTGCATCTCAATATAACTCAATTTTCAATCTCCGGCTGCGAGCGCTAATGATGATTCTATCTCAGTCGGAGGAGGTTGTTACGGCAACAGAGTCTAGGGTTTTTAGTGTCTTCACAATAACTGGGAGTTATGGAGTGTTACCATAGCAACAGTTCACGGTTCAAGGTTCAACTTTAAACTTTATTGTCCTCTCGGGAAAATGTGTCTCACGGCAGCTAGACAAAAACACTCAAGACACACCATCTGTGCAATACCAACACAAGAATATGCCATGATATTTCACAATAAATATACTAGTAAAAGACCACAATTAAAAAGTGTTAACATACAATTTACAGACAATGACTAAAGCGCAAGTTTGGGAGTTCAATATTCCAATATCATGAGAAATGCCAACACTTCTGTGATGAACTCATGGCACGTAATAATAATAACTTTATTTGTACAGCACTTTTCACATACATTGTTTACAAAGTGCTGCTCAGTCAGAAAAAAGTCCATAAAAACAGTACATAATAATATACCATCAAAATGAATGAATACAGAAGAATAAATCAGATGGAGGACACACAACGATTTCTCTACTAATCAGAATTTCTTCCCGTTGATAAAGAAACACTAGAATTTCCCCCAGTGTTCTTCTAAATTGGGAAAATTCATGACATACTTAAACTAGCAGAATGTAAATATATTTAATTTCTTGACCTATAAAGTATGAAATGTTTCCATAAAATCATAAATACATTTATTTCAATTTAAGTCTACAAAGAACCCTGATGATAATAACAACATTTAAGTTTCGAGCCCCCCGAGCAGGTAATGGAACAGGAAACATAAAAAAAAATGTGTCACAAAGTAAAAACCTCTTGGATGAAGGTAAAACAGTCTTGTCTCCAAAGTGAAGACGGAACCATCTGACAATGAGCAGAGATCAGCTTGGAGACTCTTTGGCAGTGATGAAGGACCTGGAGAGAGTTGTACCAAGCCTTAAACATAAAACATAAAACAAAACAAAAAAACCACACAGGGTCCTCTCAGAGATTTCCAAACTCAACCTAAAAACTCTCAGCGAGGAGTCTTGGATCTAAAGTTATTCCAGAACATTTATACAGTTATATTTTTAAATATCATAGAGAATGTGTGAACACAGTATAAACACAGTGATAGCTTAGTTTTTAGCATTTCTGCTCACTTTGGTGTATCGAGGGGAAAATGGCACAGCTGTGATAGCTGGTTGACTTTGAAAAATACCACAAACAAGTGAACAGCAATGGAGAACAAAAGAAAGAGAGACTAACTGGACAGAGGAACAGTGTTTGCTTCTGGCTCAATTGGTCAATGAGCATAATAGTGTTTTGAGACATACATTTGGGTTAGGAATCGCTTTTTTCTTAACTAGGATCTACTCTTCACTTTTAGGGGAAATTCTAAGAGTACGTCAAGATTCCAAGAATATTCTTAGAATTTGGCCACTAGGAGCAACTCATAGCACTAAGAATCTTTAGGAATACAGCCCCAGGTTTTTGGAGCATTGGCCTTTGAGTCTGAAGGTCGTGGATTCAAACCCCCCAGGGCACCTAGTCCCACTTTTGTCTGCTGTTGTTGTGTCCTTGGGCAAGACATTTAACCCCTCTTTGCCTGAAACCCCCACTAAGATCAAGGTTGTGTCATCACCAACAGAGCAGCCATCTTCCTGTGGACCCTCCACCTGCAGGAGGATCAGTGAGGGGCTGGTACTGATTTCTCTGATACTGAGTTCTCCCTCAGTATCATGTTGAATACCATAATACAAACAATTTTCACCCTAACCCAACACTAACCCAAACCCTAACCTTTATGCAACTTTGAAGGCACAGAATAATTTGTAAACTTGGTCCATATTTGAAAACGGTCCTTTCTTTGTAAAAATGATTAAATGCTTTGATGTTTCGTTTTGTAACTTGTGTTTCACACCAGATACACTGTGGACATAAAGAAAGAAGACATATTTTGGATTTTCAGTGTTGAGGTGTCGAGAGTTATGGACATCACACCCAACCGTTCACAGCTGTCCTTTGTGCGTGTGTATGTTTATGTGTGTGTGTGTGTGTATGTGTGTGCGTGTGTGTATATGTGTGCGTGTGTACGTTTGTGTGTGCAAATTGCATGAGGGATGAATTATGAATGGTGACTGGTTGTTTGTGAAAGTGTCGTGGCTGTGGCTGATAAGAAAAAGGTCGAATGTGGCCGACAGTGACGAGTGGTGAGGGTTATGAATGATGAGACACGGACCTTTAAAACCCAACAACAAAGACTGAGGCTAAATAGGCTACTCTGTTTCATTCCTTCCAGGTTAGCATTATTTTGCATAATTAAATGTATCAAGTAATACAACGGAGCCTCACATTTATGGCAGGAGCGGGTGATGTGCAAAGATCAGATAAGTTTATCAAAGGTTTTGTTATTATACGATTTATGGTGTCCCTGGCTGCTGCGTTATGAGCATAGACTGTAAAAATAGGACAAATTCCAACACTGCCCTCTTGTGCCATAAGTTGGTACTGTCTAAGGCTAGACTCCTCTATCGTTTTTAAATGTGCTCAAAATCATTCAGCACAATTAAATATAAAGTACAGACCAAAAGTGACATGATATGAAAATTGTAGATTAACACTGAAGGCATCAAAAGAATGAATTAACTCATTATTAGTACGTAAAAAAAATATGAAACAACTGAATATATGTCTTAAATTCTAGGTTCTTCAAAGTAGCACCTTTTGCTCTGATTACTGCTTCACACACTCTTGGCATTCTCTTGATGAGCTTCAAGAGGTAGTGACCTGAAATGGTCTTCCAACAGTCTTAAAAGAGTTCCCAGAGATGCTTAGCACTTGTTGGCCCTTTCGCCTTCACTCTGTGGTCCAGCTCACCCCAAAACCATCTCGATTGGTTTCAGATCCGGTGACTGTGGAGGCCAGGTCATCTGGCCCAGCACCATCACTCTCCTTATTGGTCAAACAGCCCTTATACAGCCTGAGTGTGAATCGACAGTCAATAGTCATGAAAAGATTGACTCATTGAATGAGAAAGTGTGTCCAAACTTTTGGTCTGTTCTGTATGACTCACACAAACAACCTTTTAATAACACATTATCAAAAAATTTTAATGTGTCAATTTAAAAAAGCTTTATCTCTCGTTCCAGCCGCTTATTATTTACTTATGCAACGTTTCACATTCTAAAACTTTATTGGTGTGACTAATTACTTTGGCACCATCATCAAGAACATTCCACAATAGATTAATTTAGTATCAGTGATTAGAGCTTCACAGCTTTATGCCCACTACCGTCAGACTGTACAATAAGTCACTTGACTCTTTGAACCTTTTAACATGATTGCACAACTCCTGTCTTTTGCACCTGATTGATTCTATCTTTAAGGGCGTGACAGTAGCTCAGTTGGTAGTGATGGGACGATGATGCCAAGGAGTGTATTGACACTGTGTTGGTCACTCAATGGCGCCCTCTACTGTAGATGTAAAATATATTGGATTTTGTGTTCAATCATATGAAATAACACACTAAACAATTATTCATTCATACATTTTTATTGAGAAACAATAGTTTTTGAAGAGTGTTTGCTCTAAGGCAATTTCTCCTCTTGGAAACTAGTTTCCCCGCCTTAGAAAAAACACTTGTTCGAAAGAGGTACAACAGCAAATTCTTTAACGAGCCTGCAGCATGTAGACACAGTTAGCTTCATTATAAACACAATTTGGCGCATCACATACAAACAACACGGTCACGCATCGGTCACGGTCTTGTTAAAGCGATACATGCACCATACAGGGTTTCACACCTGAGCACTCGGCACAGTGCTGACGCGCCAGCGTCGTTCGTCCCATCCTTGGTAGAGCATTGGTCTTTGGACCAATGGTCGAGGGTTCGTTTCCCCCATGACCCATGTCATCTGCTCCCACTGATGTCTGCAGCCATTGTGTCCCTGAGCAAGACACTAAACCCCACTTTGCCTGAAGCCCCCGCTGAAACGCCAAGGCCATATCTTCGTTGAAAGAGCAGCCATCTTCCTGTGGACCCACCACCTGCAGGAGGAACAGTGAGGGAGTGGAGCTTTCTGAATGTGGTGGCAGCTCTGATGGCCACCCCCCTGACCCAGAAAAGGATAAATAAAGCGATGAAAATGAAATCAAATGATTTGGTTTGGATGTTAAATTTCTCCATTGTGAGATCAATAAAGTTTATCTTATCTTTATCCATTCCCTCCAAACACGGTACAGTGAAGTATTTCTCGCCCTCATGGGTTGTTTTGAAATCTGTGTTTCTTATTCTTCCACAATTTCCTTCCTTCGCTCGACACTGAGATCCTCTTTTTCTCCAAACACACAATAAATGAGCTTGTTGAGTTTTTGCGTTTAAAATGTATTGTTTGAACAAAATATCTGAATAGTTTCTTACAGTTTTTTTGGGCATGAGCGCTGCTGCTGTGAGGCTTGTGGTGGTCTGTGCCGTGATGCAAGGTAAGCGTTTGACAGTTTCAGTCATTTCAGTCGTTGTGGTGACGTCAAAAGACAATTGTTTTTGTCATTATTGTTTAATTTAAACTATGTGTACTTTTTATATAATCAATATCTTCTGTTTAAATATCTGTTTAAATTTGTATTTTACATTTTGTTTGCTCAAATATTATATTGTTGTTATTGTTTGGGAGTTGTGTCTCTGTGTATAAACTCAAGTCAGCATTTCACACAGCTCAAAGTGTTGAAAAGGGACTGACAAGACTCGTTCTCACTTGAGTGCAAAAGATAAAAATATTTTCTGAAGAGATAAAGATAGAGAGATACTTTATTGATCCCCGTAGAGGAAATTCAGGTGTCCAGCAACAGAAAACACATCAATTATAAACATTTCTAAACTAACTACCTAACAATAGTGTATATTTTGAACAGTGATATAAGCCTGGCCATAGTGTCATGCAAAGGAGGTCTGGAGTTACACAGGATGTCCACACTTCTCCCCATCGTCGAGACACATTTCCTGATTAGCCGGTTACGGTTGCAAAAACAGCGGTTGTAAATTATTTAGTAAATTTTACTTTTAGAAAAAAAAAAGGGACAAAGTAACTCTATTCTAAGTCCTACTCTAAGTCCTATTTTAGATTGACAAGTTGGTATTGACACAGACAGAGTCACAAAGAGCTTTACAATTGTTGTGGGCATTTGTCTCTCACTCCACACAGAGATGGAGCAGGTCACCCTCAGGAGGAGCATGACAGACCTATTGTACTCGTTTTTAGTGGTAGGGGAAACCGGAGCACCTGGAGGAAACCCTTTGCAGACACGGGGAGCACATGGAAACTCTAAAAGGCCCTGTTCCGCCCGAGATTTGAACCTACGACCGAGAAGCGTGAGTGCTAACCACTCAGCCACCGTGGGCTCTACAAGATACAGATACAAGAATTTATTTGCCATTTGCAGTGAAACCACATTCGACAAACTGCAAGACTACTCCAGTGTGTACCAGACAGAGAAAACGGCACACACCAGAGCTCTTACCACAGCGACATTTTTATGACGCCATGCAACATACATTTCACACAGACATTTTTATTTTATTTTCACCCCTCTGCACAGGCGCTGGAGCCGACTGCCGTTGTGTTGCGCTTGTTCAGATATATCTTACCTTATTTAGAATATAAACTCTGACAGCCCTGCCCAATGTGGGCGGCCAGAGGGGACTGGGTAAGGGGGGAATGACGAGAGAGGAAGTGAGGAGGAAGTGAGGAGGGAGTAGGGAGGGGGTGAGGAGCTGGGGGGTCCGGAGCAGGGTAAACTGTGAGTTTGTGAGAAGAGTCCTGTTATCAAACTTTGACCTTGGCCAATGGAATGTGGAAACATTAGGAGGGGAGCCACAGATACAGGAGAAAAACACAATGGGACAATATGCATAAGCAATGTAGCACATCAAAACACCAACAAATATATTATAAACCCAATTGAGACCTTCCCTTCCAGAGTCTGATCATCCAAAGATTGCAAGATCTTTAAGCAAATGTTCGACCTGTAACAATCCGCTGTGATCCCACCGCGCTCTCAACCTCCAAACGGGTCAACTCCTTGTACCTCTCTCCGTTTTCGTAGGACAGCTTCTCATAAATTTTGAGAGCTCCATCCCTCCAACTTTGTGGTAAATCTGGAAACCTCTGAGCCCAATAAGGAGAAATCCAACTACCTGAAATCCAAAGATAAAAACATCTATGATGTCTTCCCTAGACAGAGGCGACAAGCATAACGGGTTCCACTTCCCCCAGCTGTTGTTTGTGTAGCACGCAACTGCCGTCCTGTCAGGGCAGGGAGCGTCTCCCGGTCCTCCCTTACGTGATGAAAAGATAGATTGAGGGACCAGTTGATGATATTTATTATTCTTTTCAGACTTGTCTGCGGCAAAACTTAAAAAACATGCATGTATTTCATCTGCTCTTAGTAAACAGGAGGTACTGTAGTTGTACATGCCTTGTATATTTTCTAAACTGTGTTATTATTCCAGGAGCGACTGGAAAGCAGTGGACTGTGACTGTGCCTCAGAGGATCATGGGAGTTGTAGGCTCGTGCATCTCTGTCCCCTGTAGTTTCCATGTGCCTGACTCCTTTGCTGCGGAGCTGAAGAACTGCTCTGGAGGCGCCATCTGGAGGAAAGAGAAACTCTATATCTACAGCGTGAGTGTCCAGGTCCTGCAGCTGCACATACAGAGTGTGACATCACCAGTGTTAGCCTTGATCAGCTGCTTCCCAGCTCACAGACCACCAGCCCCTCACTAATCCTCCTGCAGGTGGTGAGTCCACAGAAGGATGGCTGCTCTGCTCTGAACGGCCAGGATTGATCTTTCAGCAGGGCTTCCGGCAAAGTGGGGTTAATCAATCAATCAAATTTGATTTGTAGAGCGCCTTTCCTACATAAGGCAACATAAAGTGCCTCACAACCCACATCACATCAGGCATAAATTGTAGACATTAAAATCTACATAAACATTAAAAATACAACTAGAATTCCAAAGGGCATTAAAAAACACACAATGAGATCACAGGAACATTTAAAAACATAAAAAATAAAATCACACAAGATAAAGATAAAAATAAGATCATTCAGTTGTGTGCACAGCTAAACAGAACAATTTTCAACTTAGACTTAAAAACTGCCACAGAAGTCGCCTGTCTCACATTCTCAGGAAGAAATCCTAGCCGCACAAATCTGAAATGCAGCCTCCCCATGTTTAGTTCTGACTTTGGGTGTCATGGTTTAGGTTTATTTCCGGTTTTATTTTGTAGTTTGGTACATCCCTGTGTCTTCCTAGGTTGCTGTTCTTGTTTGGTTACCTGCCCTGCCCTCCCCTCATGTGTCTCACCTGTGTCTCGTTAGTCTTGTATTTAGCCCTGTGTGTTCCTTCACTCCCTGTTCCGTCATTGTCAATCCTTGTCTGTTTTAGTTCTTGTTCTTGGTCCTTGTGTTTTTGGATTTGTTCTATCTTTTAATTAAATCCATGATGTTTTGCATTTTGGGTCTCCTTTGATTTTTCCCACGTGACACTGGGCACCAGCAGGAGGCCCGTCCTCGTGCTCCTCCGAATCCGGCCGGTTCATATGGGACAAAAAAGTCACTTATGTATAGTACCTTGGTGCGAGGCCATGGAGAGACTTCTACACAAGCAGCGCTACTTTGAAGTCTATTCTCTGAGCCACAGGAGGCCAGTGCAGAGACCTGAGGAATGGACTAATGTGGTCGTACTTCCTGGTTCTAGTCAGGACTCGAGCTGCAGCATTTTGAAAGTACTGCTGTTGTTTTACTGCTTTTTTGGAAAAACCAATGAACAAGCCATTGTATTTGACTGGAGAAAAATGCATGGATAAGGATCTCCAAGTCTGCTTTTGACACTATGTTTTTAATTTTAGCTATGTTTTTTTCGATGGTAAAAAGCTGCTGATGTTACCGATTTGATGTGGCTATTGTCTGAGTCTTACTCCAAGATTTCTGACCTGATTTGAGGGTTTTAGGGAGCGAGACTGTAGATGACAGATCTCTCTGTTTCAATAATTTCAGTTTATTCTGTGTTTAGCTGGAGAAAGTTAATTTGCATCCACTCACTGATCTGTTGGATACAGTGAATAAGCTAGTCAGTGAGACATAAATCTGAGTGTCATCGGCGTAATTGTGATAGGATAAGATATCTGTGAAATACTTGAAATGTGTCTTAACACCACATAACACCACTGTATTTCCAATTTAGAGGCACCTTCTTTAGACATATTCATGGCTGTGCAGTGGGCTCCCCAGTTTCTCCTACAGTATAGTGGCCAATCTGTATATGGAGAAACTGGAGAAACAAGCCCTGGTCTCTTACCAAGGGACAGCGCCAAGCCATTGGTTTCGATATGTAGACGATACATGGGTTAAGTTAAAGAAACAGGAAGTGGAACCATTTTCAGAACACATCAACTCTGTGGACCTTTTTATAAAATTGACACGTGATGATGCAAAGGAGTGTGAATTTGCCTTTCTAGATTGTAAGGTCATCACACTGGAGAATGGACAATTAGGGACTGAGGTCTTCAGAAAGTCCACTCACACTGACCAGTACTTGGTCTTTGATTCAAATCATCCTCTACAACACAAACTCTGGGTCATTAGAATGCTCCAACACCGAGCCCACCAGGTCCCCACAAGCTCGGAGGGAAAGGGCAGAGAAACCAAAAATGTTCAGAGAGCACTTTCCAGATGTGGCTACCCCAAATGGTCTTTTACTAAAGTCCAAAGGACACGAAAGGCCAGACAAACAGTCCAACAAACAGAAGAAAGTAGGAGGAGAGGCGTGTCCTTACCTTATTTGCCTCGCATCTATGACGACGTCCTAAAAACAACGCCCTAACTATAGATAAGGTCAGTGACGTGAGTTCGGAGTGGTTAGACCTGCACTCCACTCAAGCAATCTCAGCAGACAATAATAGGTCTGAGTTATGCTAATGAGTTAGGATCGTTAGCCCTAGCATGGTCGTTAGACCTGCTCCCTATCAAATCTTAACACACCTTTGATGTGTTTACGAGTTAGCCTCAGGATTAGGGCGTGTCTAACCACACCCATAGGTCATAAATCTCCAACTGAGATGTCGTTCCCTTGTAAAAGTTCTTTGGATTATGGACGAAACGTCAGGAAAACCTGCTAAGAAGTACAGATGATGGGTGAGAAACCTTCCTTAGCGTTATTACTGCGTATTAATTGACTTAATGGCATTATGTAAATATTGAACAGAAAAAAGGTTAAGTGTCTTAACCAAGGACACCACAACAATACAATACAATACAATTTATTCTTGTGTAGCCCTAAATCACAACAGTAGTCATCTCAGAGGACTTAAGAAAACCATTGAAATCACCAACACAGATCAGAAAATCAACAGTTAAGACACAAAATAGATTATAAACATGATGTTGATAGATGTCCATACATGTTGTAGATACATACAAGCAGCGTTTCCGTCGAATTGTTATTCACGCGGGTGGTAATGACGTTCGGCGGAAACAGTCCGAGGTGTTGAAGCTGCAAGTCGCCGTGGTGTGCAAGCTGGCTAGCACAATGGCCGACACTGTCATCTTCTCTGGGCCCCTACCTAGCACTAGCAGTGCAGAAGCATTCAGCAGACACTCGGCTTTCAACCGCTGGCTGTCTGGCTGGTGCCCTCGAAGTGGTGTTGTTCATGTTGACAATTGGAGTGCCTTTTGGGGAAAGCCCGGTCTCATCCGCTCGGATGATATCCACCCAACGTTGGCGGGTACATCCCTTTTGGCTAAGAATTTGGCCCTGGCTCTAAACTGTTCTGCCCGGCTCAAATGACGGTGCAGAACTGAGGCCCGGGTGCAGAGCTGCTCTGCCACAACCTCTGAGCCCCCATCTGTTCAGTTACTAGCCTCAGAAGCTAGTCAGATTGAAACTGTGTGTGCATGTGTGTGTGCCTGTGTGTGCTCAGTTACTAGCCTCAGAACCTAGTCAGATTGAAACTGTGTGTGTTCCTCGCTTGAAGTCTAAAGCACTATATGCGAGGAAATCTGACCTGGGTGTCAGACACAGTAACTTAATAAAAGTTCAGACAGACAGAAATAGTTCTAACAGTAGGGTTGTTAAATGTGGTTTAATGAACGTCAGATCAATCTCGTCTAAATCGCTTCTCATAAACGAACTTAGACAAGGGCTTGGATCTGTTTGCGCTCTGGAGACTTGGCTCCAACAGGACGACTACGTTAGATTGAATGAGTGCACTCCTCCGACGCATGTTAACTACCAGAAAGCGAGAACTACAGGTCGCGGCGGTGGTGTTGCGATTATATCACACACCAACTTGCTTCTTAGTCCCAAAACCAACAATGCTTTTCACTCGTTTGAAAACTTAACACTTTCAATCACCTGTCCTGGGTGGAGAAAACAAAAAGCGGTGCTATTTATAGTTTTATACCGACCTCCTGGTCCTTACAGCGAGTTCCTAGCGGAGTTCTCTGACTTCATTTCAAACCTAGTTTTGGAATGGGAAAACATAGTTATAACTGGAGACTTCAATATACATGTGGACGACAGCACTGACAGCTTAAACAAAGCTTTCAGCGCCGTACTAGACGGTGTTGGTTTTACTCAGAATGTCGAGGAACCTACTCACATTCATAACCACACCTTGGACCTTGTCCTGACCTACGGCTGTGATGTCTCCAATGTTGACATCCAGCGTCAAAGCTCGTTGCTGTCTGACCATTTCTTGATCACGTTTGATCTCGATTTGGAGGACTTTCCTGTCCCGCAAGATAAAACCATAATGAAAAGAACCTTAAATGATAAATCTATCACAAGGTTCAAAGAACTAATACAGCCTATGTTGAATACTGCTGCAGGTGAACCTGTTCACAGCTGCTGCAGTCCCTCAGTCATTGACCAAACGGTGGGCAACACTATGGAGTCTTTAAAATCTGCATTAAATGCAGCAGCTCCTTTAAAACAGAAAACTATTAGGATTAGATCATCGTCGCCCTGGTACAGTGTTCAACTCCACACTTTAAAACAGGACGTCAGAAAATTGGAGAGGCTATATCGCCACTCCCACTCGGAGCCTGTCCACAGGGAGTGGAAAGCAGGTCTCCGAAACTATAAGAATGCCCTTCGCAGGGCTCGAACTCAATACTATTCAACTTTAATAGAAGCGAATAAAAATAACAGTAGATTTTTGTTTAGCACCGTCGCTAAACTCACAAACTGCCATAGCGCAATCGAGCCTAAAATTCCAAGCTCACTGAGCAGTGTCGACTTTTCTCCACTTCTTTAATAATAAAATTACATCCATCCGTGACAAACTGGAGGAGGTTACTCCTGCTGTTGGTAGTGGACAAGCTGAAGCGGCATACGTGACTTCCCACTTAGACTCTTCAGTGGGCCTCGATAAATTCATGGCTGTGAGCCAAGCAGAGGTGATCTCTGTGGTCACATCCTCAAAAGCCTCAACTTGCATGTTAGACGCAGTCCCGACATGGCTCTTCAAAGACATACTTCCTTTGATAATTGAGCCTATCGTAAATATAATAAACGCATCCATACAATGTGGCTATGTCCCACAAGCTTTTAAAACCGCGGTAATCAAACCCCTTCTAAAGAAAACAAACCTGGACCCAGAAATACTTACAAACTACA